CCGCCCCGCCCCTGATCCGCCGCCGCCGCCGACGACGGTTGGCGATGTCGTGGTCTCCTTTGTCGGCAGCAGCACTCGTCCATCACGGCGTGCAATCTCCGGGCCCTCCTCTCTTCCTCTTTCTTTTTCTTTTTTCTCTTTTGCCGACATGCCCGCGCACTAGCAGGCCTCCGTCCGCCCGAGAGCACGCGCGGTTACGTACAGCGAGACGTGCCCCGCGACCAGCGCCCCGACTGGGCGCTCCCTCGCAGGCACGCCGGTACGTCACCCCCCACGTCCCCGTCACCTAATCCTGCTTGCGTGTGCGGATCCCGCCTCTCAGGATTATATTTGGCAAGCGGCGCAGATCAGCACAACAACACCTGGCCCAGACCGCACCCAGCAGCGGACCCCGCCCACCCTCGCACCCCTCGTCGCGATCCTCCCCATCCTCCCCCGCCGCTTTGGGCTGTGGCGCCCCCGGACTGCCTGGTTCACGCTCCCTCAAGAGCGTAACGTCGGTGGATCTAGTCCTTCGATTGTGTCGGCATACCAAAGGCCATGTTCACTGGCAGGACGTCCAGCCCCCTGCAGAGTGCGTTACATCTACCCTGAAGCACCCCACACGGGCCACTCACCGGCGAGCAATGTCCGTCATTGTATGGTGTTAGAACGGACCCCGCTTTAGAATCTGTTCAATGAGCCGCTGACCTTGCGAGAGCTGCCCGTGCAGTGGGACATCCGAGGTCGCGGAGAGCCTGTGGGGTGCCGATGCCTCCCAAAGCCATTCCGGTACGGACACACCTTTACGCATCACGGCCCGTCCGAGTGGAACTGATGATGGTGTTGTGATTTGGCGGGCTGGCCAAGCAAACCAGGCGCACTTTCTTATGGTGGTCGTCGCCGAAAACAGGTACGTCGTGCGTTCCTTCGGGCTGATCTTCAGAATCCTGCCAATGACCGGCGTAAAATCCATGTCGAGTACCTGTTCCCCACCCGCCTCGGCACCCCCTCGTGTGCTCCAGGTGGCGGCGGCGTCGGGGGCGGGCATGGCGAGATGGAGGTCAGAAGGAAAAGTGGGCGCATACGATGGTCGATTCGATTGGCCATGCGGTTCGGCACGCTCAGGCATCATTGCCTCCTCGACGCCTCCGTCTATGGCGGCGAGGACGAGTACTGGTGCCGCGCAGTGTAAAAGCAACGAGTTGAAGATATAATTCGTGTCCGTTCAGAGTGCAAGGCGTGCGAAGTGACCTCAGCCCAGCCGGTGGCGTCAAAGTTTTAGGATCGGAATATGACGGTCTAGGCCGTCTGGCGAGATAAATCTCAGCTATAGGCGTGTGCAACCTCGACATCAGAGAGAAACGAGCCTCTCGGATTTCATGATCGCCTGTAGCAGCCTCCGTGGAACCTTCGAAGTCACGTTCAGTCGAGTCTCGACTCCGGAAGATGCTCAATGCTATCGCCTCGTTGTGGTAAATCGGCTGCATCAGCCATGCAATTCTTTCCCTCACACGCTTGCAAGGCAGTATGCAGTACGTCACCAACTACGTTCCCTCGGTAGTCGTGAGGTAATCCTGCTTGCGTGCTCATATACACATCCCAGGCGTTGCGATTGGCGCTCACCGAGGCGATACGACATGCATGACTCCATGAGATTCCTTGCCGCGTACGGCCCCCGCCTGCGACAAGGAGAACATAATTCTCCGAACCTGATGAGGGAGGACGCGCTGAGGATGGAGTTGAGTCATCGAGAAGCAGGCGACGCGGTCTGGATTCCAGATGAGATGTCTCTGAATAGCACAGGTTCTCGACGGCATAAGCGTCTCTCGCGGGAGGACATGATGGAAGCTCAGAACAGGGATATGACGTCCCCTTCAACAATAGCACTATAGCGTGTGCACATGGAATGGCCTCGAATGCGCGTCGAGAACAGGGTCGTACGGGCCATTGCGATTGGGAAGAACGCAGTCTCGATTGTGTCGAAAACACCAACACATCGATGCAGTGGACAATCCAAAGGCAGTAGTGTCAGCAATGGACGAGCGGGTTTGCAACTCCGCGCACAAGCGACGCCTTCGCACAAGATCCGAGGAGTCACCTCGCCAATGGCCCTGCAGAAGATGGAGCTTTAGGCACAGCAGGGAGATCTCCCAGACACCGCCGTCCGCTCGATCGCCTCTCCCGGACAGCTTAACGGCAAGCAGAATCCAGCGGCCGCCGCTTCCCCATTCACCGCCTTCTGCAGTGATGAGTAGCTTCATCTCCGCCGTCGGGCAAGTCAGCTATATTTCTGATCGGTTCAGCCTTCAGGGACAAGTCTTCTAGCGCACGCAAAGAACGAAATGGAATCCTGATTTATGGGGAACAATGAAGTGATGGAAGTAGAAGGAGCACCATGGACAACCTACCCCTGCCGGATGCCAATCTGCGTTCTAGCCCCATCTACACCAAACATAGTCCACGGCCACTTGCCTCAGTCTCGCCCCTACCGCGCGCCAGGCCGCTCGCGGCGTGCATTGTCCTCCCATCGCCTCCGGTCGCGCTCCCTCTCGCGCATGCGTTCCTCCTCACCATACTGCATAGACCCGCGCGCAGGAGGCGTCCGCGAACGGCTGTACCTGCTGCGGTCGTACGACCTGTTCCGTCGCCGAGGCACGGGCGAGCGCGAGCGCGAGACGCGCCGGTGCTCGCTGCGGTCATCGTCGTCGTCATGCCCAAATCCACGCCCCCGCTCACGGCCGCGATCTCGCTCGCGCTTTGCCCGCCGGCGCTCCTTCCGCGCACGCCTCTCCTCCTTCTCTTTCCGACGCTCCTCTTTCCGACGCCGCCGCTCTTCCTTCTCGGGATCTTGAGATGGCGACATGGACGCGGACGCAGGCACTGCGGCGGGCTTGGGCGTCACGCCGATCGCGTTGGCACCTGTCCCGGGAGCACCAGTGGTGTTTGGTACACCGGGTTTCTGGCCAGTGGCGAAGCCTCTGGTAGAATGACGGAGTTAGCACATGAGAAAACTGACTTGCAAAGACGCGGATACTCACAATGCCGCTGCCAGAGCCTCAGCCTCGGCCTCCTTGACCTTGCGTATCTCCTCGTCCCGCTCCTGCTGCGATAGTGCCTGGTCTCTGTTGTACCAGTGGATGTCTTTGTTCTTCTGCCAGCGACCGGTAGGCGCGTTGATACTGTGACCGAGGTAGTTCTAAGACTAGTTGAGCCGGCAGAGGAAGGGTAGGTATATTACCGCCTACCTCGCGATCTTTGTCCGCTGAGACGTCTGACCACTTAAATTCGGCCTGTCCTCCTCGGGTGCCGCCTCTGACTGGTTCAAACATGACAGGAAATTACAAGCAAAGGAGAGAGCAGATAAATGAGCGGGCACAAGAGACACGGGACGAGAACCGTCAAGACTCCAAGTCCGAACCGAGTGTAAGATGTTTGCGCATGTTGTGCAGCAGCTTCTGATTGCGCGATGTGCAAACAAACGCTGTGGCTGGAGAAGATCTGCGCCGAATCTGCTTGAGTCCGCTTCCGATTGTCCTCGGTGGACTTATCCGACTTCGGCTCTGATTCTCTCTGTGCATTGAAGCTACTCATAGAGCTCTCCAATAATTCATGTCTTTCATGTTTCCTCCCCCTAGTCTTCCGCTCCCGGGCGAAATCTTGCTCATCACCGATGAGCTCGCCTCGCCCGCCGACTTCCTCCTCCACCGCAGTCTCAGCACACACCTCAAAGAAAGCAAACTCTCTTATGCAATTATACTCTCAGTTTCTGAGAGCCTAGCACGATGGAAAGCCGTCGCCGGACGCTCGGTCGGTCGCATTCCTTCCCCACTCGCACTGAACGCTGACTATCGCTGCTCGAAGGGTGTAAACCTTGCGCAACTCCTTTCCTCGGGAGCACTGACGCTACTTGAGTACACTTCAGAGGAGCCCTTTGCCATGCCGGATGCGGGTGCAGATCCCGGCGTGCCGCTGAAGGCGCTCCTGGGCAGGCTGCGGGACACGCTGGTGCAGCGGCGAGGGGGAGAGACCCCAGAGGCGCGGACACTCGTCATCCTGGAGGATATCGCGGCGCTGGAGTGGATCGGTACGCCTCTCCTGGACCTCAGCCGGTTCGCACGCGCGCTGTGCGCGACGTGCCGGCAGGTGTGTGATTCGTTCTGTCCCTACTCGTCTGCACCGTAACACCGTAACATATGTGGCCTCATAGTTTAATGCGGCACTGATTGTGCGTCATCACGTCGTCACGCCTGGAGAGCCGGACGACCTCCTGCGGCTCTTAATGCAGCTGTGTACTTACCACATGGATGTGCTGCCTCTGTCTAGCGGGAGGAGCGGGGCGGTCAGCGGCCAGGTGGGGTCTTTTCCTTGTTTTCTTCGCCTTCTATGTGCTCATTTGTTCACAATCTTAGGTCGCATTGCATGCGGGTCCTTCGGCGATCGATCCTCCTTTCCGTTTGATCTCACGGAGTGACGCTGTTCATTATAGACTGACAGATGCTGGGTCCGTGTTCTTTGATCGAGGAACGGGAGGGGGAGTGCTATGATGCTGCACCTTAGACATTGGACACGACCTCGAAGATCGAAAGTCCCATTTTCCTCAACATACACACAAAGAAATTACATGCTCCTTATTAAAGTATTATCCTAAACATATTTGTAGGCTGTAGAATTAATTCACGTTGGCGAAAGATACTGATGAAAAGTGAAATTATACCGCTAGCCTGATTTATACGATACAGGTGATCTTACGACAACCACAGGATCCGCTATGGCCTCGGAATGGGGGAATGGGACGTGGCAATATTTCCAAGCGTATCAAAAGCATGCTTTACTCCGTTCACAATATGACGAACCGGGCTCTCGTTAATCTCCACCAGGCGCGAGCGGAGCTTCCTACTATTCAGCGAAGACTGAATCGTGCCGAATCGCGCAACGACCTCATCGGCCGTCGGTCGCTTTGTAGGTTCGTCTTGTACCATGTCGTCTACGAGCGGCTGCATGAACTCCACCCCGTGGTATTTCTGGTTCAACCAGGCCGTCAATGAACGACCCAGAAGGAACACGATGCACGTACCTGCAGGAAATCCTCCCTAATCAGGTTCCCAACGTAGTACACATCCGTCGGGAACGGGTCCACCGGCTCGTTCGAGTTGCGAAATTCTGGTACCGACCGATCTCCTCCGTGAATCGGAACTTCGCGTGGAGGGCCGCTAGCAGGGTCATACCGCCGAGAGAGGCCGAAGTCGATGAAGTAGTACTTGGTCGGGCGCGCGGTGCGGGTGTGGTGTTTGGCTGGGTGTGTGAGGTCGCGCGACCAATCAATGAGGCGGGGGTGGTACATCTCGGGGAAAAGGGGTCGCGGGTCCATCATGATGTTGAGGTTCATGCAATCGCTAATGCCCCGTTGAATAAGTACGACAAACTCACATCCTCGTAGGACGTACCGATGAGCAACATGATGTTGGTGCATGAATTGCAGGCCCTTCAAAAAGTCAGCATATGATCAGTAGTCATATTCGTAAAAATTGGCTAAATTGCGAGTTCCTCACCTCGAATATCTGGCGGAAGAGCTCTGTTGTCTCACCTACAGTTTGCAAGGGAGGGCTATCATAGCGCCGCATGAGGGGCATCACCAGGATAACCATGCCATCCTCATCTGGGACATGAAGGACGTCATATATGGATATGCAATGGTTGTGAGGATCCGAAACTAGAGGCTCAGAAGAGAAGAACTGGCTAATTTCAACCTCATACGGATGTTCCGAGACAAGGATGCGCTTCAGCACTACCAGCGAGCCATCGGATGCCCGTGTGGCGTCGAGGAGGTGAGGAACCTGGACTCCGAAGTCTCATGTAAATACCGGCTTGGGCTACTGGAAGAGGTTGAACTTACCATGATAGCTTGGCCGTCATCACACTGCCAGAATGGCTTGTGTTTTTCCTTCCAGGAGGGAACCCAGTCCGGGCTATAGCGCGAACGCAACATATAGCCTTGCTCTTGTAGCCATCGTTGGTGATCTCGCCAGAAGTATTCCTCGGGCTGAAGCTCGCCTCTGTATTTTCCCTCAGGTCGATCAGGAAGAGTGGGTACCTTGTCTTGTGCAGGGGGTGGGGTGATGTCGCCAGCCATAAGAAGGAAAGGGATGAGTCGAAAGTGTTCTTGAATTCTCCGCAAGTTCCAGGCGAGGCTTTCAATCGAGATATCCCAGAAGAAGCCGACCTCTGAATGTAGCTTGAAAACGACAAAGGGCCAGAGTTTTAAGCCGTTGAGACACAGGCACCACTTGTATAGACATGTGCCATTTTCACGCCACCCACTGACGCAGAGAAGAAACGGCCTAGTTCAGGGGGTGCAATGGGGCTGCGTTCTCTGTGCGAGCGGTTGCAGTTTATGCTATATAGTTTTTGAGATGAGAGGGACCGAGAGATGTGGAGTCAATGGGCCAATGGTGTATTTTCATAGATCTCAGTGCCAAAATGTGCCACATTGTTGCCTCTGATATGATCTTCATCGACGCTGGGGCACGGCATCTCACAGCCCGCCTTGTCTTGCCAGCGTGGAGACTAGAAACGTCGACATTCTTCAGCAGTCTGTTGTCCTCGGTACTCAGGGTTGCTTAACAATAGAGTACAATCTCCTGATCGTCTTGAGGAAACCATTCGAGGCTCTACCACTACCTTGACCTTGCCATCATCGTATGTTCCCAGCAGAATCTGATATATCTCAGGACTGGTGCGCGTAATTTGTACTATCAACCGTAGTAGGGTGCTCCGTTAGATTTACCGCATTGTCTTGTTTAGACCACCTGTCTACGACCTAGGGATCAACTATGTTCCCAAATACACAGACCACCCGAGAACAGCTTCCACGTCGAACAGACAGTCTGGTAGCCTCCAAAGGCCCTTATTTTGTAGAAATTGAGGATGAATTACGCGACATCAAACGTGTTAATGCCCAGGGCCAGGAGGAGGACCTCAGGCTTGCACTCAGCCGGATGATCGCCAGGGTGGAGGAGCTCGTACGCCGTCTCTTCCTCTTCCCTGCTCTCCAGGTGTCCTCACAATGACATCGCTCTATCTCTTCATGCCCCAAACCATCATCTCCACATCGCTTCTAGACATCCATGTTGAAGGAGGCCTTCAAGGCGCAAACCGACCTCCAGACCGAAATCACCCTCTCCAAGTCGAACCTTCAGCTCGCACTAGCAAATAACGAGATGCTCGAGGATGCGCTGAAACGAGAAGGCGGTGGGCATGGTAAGGATATTGGGTGGCGACGCTGGAGCGCGAAAGAGCAGAAAGAGCGTGAAGCAGAGGAGGAACGACGTCGCAGCGTCGACAGCGCAGGTCCGCATGATACCGCACGCAACTCTCCCGCCCCGTATGCCTCGCCGATGCCGTCGTTAATGCCCAATACTGCTGTCACTTCACCACTTCCCTCCTCCGAGGGCCGCTTCTTTAAATTCCGCTTCGGCAATAGTAGTGCAACGACAAATAGCTTTCCGACTTCGCCGCGCCTGCCCAGTGCCAGTGGGAGCAAATCGCCAATCCCCAGCGCACAGCACTTAACCTCTGCGTCCTTGCCGTCGCTCATCCCAGCACGCGAGCATGAAAAGGAGATCGAGGAGCTGACTGTTGAACTCAAACGCGAACGTGAAGCACGCAAGACCATCGCCGCACAGAAGGATGCGCTCGAATCCGAACTCGAATCGCTTTCGCAAGCACTGTTTGAAGAGGTATGCTCACGGGGCAATTTATATCCTTGCGAATTGACTTCTCACATACCTACAGGCGAACAAGATGGTGTCCACCGAGCGTAAGAAGCTTGCGGAGACGGAGGATGAACTGAAAGAATTGCAAGCGGAGCGTGAAGCCCTCCGCAACGCCCTCCGCCTCGTTGAGCGTCAGAGCCATGGATATTCCAACGGCATAGACAGTACAATCGACGAGAATTCAGCCTCTGCTCTTGGACATGCGCATACTGGTTCGACATCATCTGCCCGAGCGGTTAAATCACCTCCCTCGACAAGATCCTCCTCTCCAATCTCACCAGATGCAGACGCAGACGCAGACACAGACTTGGAAACAGACCTGGAAGCAGACCCTGACGGTGAGACGGCTGATATGGATGAGGGGCCTGTCTCAGCGGGTACAATCATCGCATCATACATGCATCGGCCTCCGCCTCTGAACCTCGCACCTGCGGAGCCCTTGTTCCTTCCACCCTCCTCATCGCCTAAGGACCAAGAGCAATCCAGCACCACTTATGATACACAAACGACACATTCTGGGGCCCAATCGGCATTGAGATCGTCCTCACAGTCATCACTTGTCAAGCCATCGCCGAACACGGTCTCTCCAGAAGTTGGCGGCTACGTATATCCACTCATGCGTACGGGGTTTCTTCCAAGCGAAACGTCCCCTTGGGACGATTAATCTAGTCTTCTACGAGGGTATTTGGAGATTTATTGGTTGGTATGACGATCGTATGGTATAGTTCGTAGATTGTTGAACATATGCTCTGCAAATGCATTCTCCACTGTAATCATTACCGCAACTGAAGTGCTCAGCCAAATCTTGTGCGGTCATGCATTATTTACATTGATCATAGTAACATACTCGGGTACACGCAGAACGTGCGCATAATGCTGGTGGGCAAGTAGCAGTGCCAACTTCTGGAATGTAACCTACAGGCGGCAGCCAAAACAACAAGGTCGAAGCAGAAGGACAACAAAAGATATCGCTGGGAAATGATACAGGTAGGACGGAATGTAGCAATAATCAATAAGCAGTGTTAGGTCTGCATCCTCAAGAGGAAAGCGAGCAATTACTTTCCGCCGACCAGCTGCAGTCACACCGGCAAGAACAGCCATGCAAACAAAGAAATCAGGACCAACGGAACCACTGGGAGATATTCGTACCCATTTTTACCCTTCACCTCTCGTCTATCGGAGTCGCAATCTGTTGAACAATCACGCAGCGGCTTCTGACATGGTCACGTCCGCTAAAGCAGACTCATCCGCGGCAGGATCCGCTGGGGCATCCTCGTTCAACATCTCAGCTTCTCCATCAGCCTCTGCATCTGCATTTTCTGCGGGGGCAGACGGCTTCTCCTCTTTGACCGGCTCTTCTGCCTCTGCCTCTGCTTCCGCTTCCGCTTCTGCCTCCACCTCCGGCTCAGCCTCAGCCTCAGCCTCCCCCTCTTCCTCCGGCTCTGCCTTTGCGTCAGCATCAGCGTCGACTTCCATAGCATTCTCACTCGCGTCCACTTTCGCGGGCTCCTCGCTCTCCTGCTTGTCAATTGCCGCTACTCCGGCATCTGCCGCATCGGCGGCTTTCGCAGACGGGCTCGTGCCATTCGTCGTGGCCTTGGCGCCATCGGTGGCCGTGCCGTTGGCCTTGTTGGCATTGAGGATCTCGTGCCACCTATCGACGAGGGCCTTTGCACGCTCTCGGAACTTGAATTCCTTGTCTCGGGGAACTTTCTCCTCGGAGAGTGCATGGATATGGCGCATAACCTTGCCAATTTTCGAGAACTAAAAGAAAGGCCCGACGCGAGAGGTGTCAGCAATATTACCAATTGAAGTGGAATGTTGTCGCATAATTTGGAGAATTCCCGCGGTCCATCGCGGCGCGGACGAGGGATGCCAGCAAAGCAGCCGCGTGGTAGAGGGCATAAACAGGCAGACTTACTGAGAGATATTGAATATTCATGCTCTCGTATTTCTCTACTGTCGTGAATAAGGCATCCAATCCAGGCATGTCCTACAGGAAACATAAGATAGCGCTAGGAGACACGATGGGGGATATAATGACTCACCTCCTCTTTGGGGACGGCCTTGCCATTCAAAAACGCCTTCTGAAGCTTATGTCTCCAATCCCTGACCTTCTGCGCTTCAGGATCGCCATTGAGAGCTGCTAAAGACGTATAAAATTCAATAATGATCAGCAGATGTCACAGATTCAACGTATGGAGAGCCAGCGTTATCAATGGAGGTCTGACTTACCATCGCCGTCCTCTTCTCCTTCCTTTTCGCGTTTGGCTTTTTTGGCAGGCGGCGGGGAAATCTGCTTGCTAGGACCCACATCATCATCTTCACCCTCAGCGCCACCCTCGTCCTCAGACTCAATCATGGTCTTTGATTTGATCCCGTTCTTCTTCGCTTTCGTACTCCCTGCTCTTTTTCTGCTGGCGGGTTCGACAGACTCCTTCTTAGGCTTCGGCTTTGCCTTAGGTTTCGGCGGCGCGGCATCAGACTCGCGTTTTCGTTTTCTCGACTTGGCCTTCTTCTCTTCTCCATCGTCTGCCTCTTCCTCACCATCGCTCTCCAGCTGATCGATCTCTGCATTCGCCTCCTCTTCAGCGGCCTCCACTCGCATGGCTTCTCTCTCTTCTTCCCATTTCGTGGGATCGAGGGCGATGCGATAACCTTGCAACAGGTCACCGGACCGCTTGTATGGCTCGTTAATGTAAGCCTCGATTTCGTGACGTTGCAATTTGGATATGTCCTTGGGCACTATCCAGGCACTGTTGGTAAGATGAGATCAACGACGTCAACTCTTATCACCGAGCAGTTGGAATACACACTAGTCACCCGCAGGGAAGAAACGAACACAATACCAGTTCCCCTTCTTCGTCTTTGCGTTTGGCCGCTCGCTTTGAACGTTCTCAGGAACCGTGTCAGGATCGACAACCTAAGTGCCACCAAAAGATATCATGTAAGCCATGATGGGAGAACCAAACGGTATATGGTCCTCCAAACTCAACGACGTTCGAACAGTCACTCACCATACCAGGCCATGGAGGATATCCCCGCACTTTGGCGAGCACGACGTCACGAACATCGTAGGATTGCTCCTTCGTCTGGGTTTTTGCAGCCTTCTTACTCATATTTTGATGTGAGCACGGCGAAGGAAGCAAAAACAGCGCGAGGGAGAGGGGGATAAAGGCGCGCGCACAAGCCGAGCGAGACTTGCAGTGAGTTGATGGTCAACGAAAGGTTGAACCCCTGCTCGGCATTTTCCGGCATGAGTCGCCCGTGCGACATTTGACCCCGGTGGGTCCGTGCGTCTGAGCATCCGGCATAGAGTTGCAACTCAGATTCGAATCTTCATTCGGATTTCGAACTACCTATACACACAGGAGCAGTAAGACCAACATCGTACGCATAACTGCATGGACGTTACAGCGACAGGTCCTCTCTCTTCCTCAACCGCAATGATTCCTAGCAGCAAGACAATGTGAGAGTGCGCCCGTCGAACGCACTCGGGGAGACTCGGGTCAAAATGGTCCAAGCTGCCCGGCGAAGGCGGGAAAGTATTGAGAATTTGAATCAAGGAACGCTTGACGATGTATAGATCGAATTAGCCAGTAGCGTCCGTCCTAAACCCCAAGCCACGCACCCTTGCTAGATTACGGCAGCGTGCAAAACAGGAACGAATGCCGTGGGGGACTGCGAAGATAAGAAGGCTAGATGATGCATCGTGGCCTACGCACTTTGGATTTTGCCTGTATGGTTATAACTCGAAAATGATAGCGAACAGCCCTATCCAGCCGGAGCGAGCACATGAGTCCGTCGACCGTCGATGCAATCGCAGTCGGGTTCGTCTTCAGTGTGTACACCGACGTCGCAGCAGACGCCCGGCGCACATCAATGCGCGAGCAAAGCATTCGGTAGTGAAATGCAGTCATTGTCATCAATAGATACTGCAATGCTAGATGTTAGCGCTTCTGGGAACAATTTTGAAATGCGGCACATTCGAACACGGGCACAACAAATCATGGCGGACTAGAGTGAAAGAATTCAGCGGAGTACTCTCATCCTCCAAACATTGCAAGTGGTACCAGAACGCACATACTACGCCTGACCGAAGGACACCAATCAAAAGGACTGAATATATGCGGTTCAAGAAGCATGGTGTTGTTACTGTGGAGCTTGGATGGATTCAGCCATTAAATCCGGAATAAACAGCTAAGTATGACACAAACGTGGGGTATTCAACACACTTCGCGGCACAGTATGCTTAAGATTTTGGGCTGTAGCCCGACCATCTACACGTAAATTGTTCCGAGACCCGGGTTGGTGGCTGCCCAGGAACCGACTGTCGCATACAGAGGATTTTTGATATATATATCGACAGACGTAAATGTTGAAGACAAAGGCCAGCGTTGAACGCTGCGTCTTGAATTATCGATCCGCAAAGGAATAATGTCAGTGTGGATCTACTTCGTGTCCACTGAGCGCATTCTGCGACGCGCAACTCGAGATGTCGAACATCCAGAAGTAAGCTATTGTGGTTGAGCCTTCGTGAAGAGGAATCAACCCCAGAGCTACGGACAAGGCCCTCAGAAAGAACTGTCGAGAACGTCGAGGTTGGTCCTAGAGCCGTGACAATCGCGATCCGGTGACCGTAACGGAGTTGCGATTGGGATCGTTGGGCCAGCGGGCAAATTGCTCTCAGACACTAACCTCAGTGTTCGACAAATTTCCTCGAAGTTACTACTTGCAAACGGTGAAGAGCTTTCTGTCCCCGAGTCATTTCAAACATTACACTGAAGGACAGTGGCAGTGCCGCAGCCTTGGCAGCATTCTCATGTCGCGTCAATATTTTCCATGCACGCTCACTGCAGTTGTGCAGTTGCTGGAACACATACGGCGCGAGTAGTCCATAACCAACATTTGTTCTCCCATCTTCTGATCTGGTTTCCCAAATACTCCGCCTAGGCCGATTGATTGCCTGCAAGACTGCATTATGCATATCTGCTGGCCCATCGGAGAAATGATCGCACACCTAGGCGGGTGTGAACGTGATGCATGTTTAGATCCAACACCGTGACACAACCGGGACACAAAGCATTCTTGACGATGATGCATATGTGTTACACTACTCTGCTGTTTCTGTCGTCGCTGTGCATTCTTACTGACGGTCTGGTCGGTACGTTAAGATGCTCTTTCCCTGCCAATAGCGAGACATGCATTGATAATACTCAGGGCTTCTCACGCATCTCCGTTTGCTCTCACCGTACTGCTCGCAGCAGCCGGAAACATTCATTGCTACCCCCCTATGGCATTATTCATATCATCATTCCCACCGCACATCTCACGGTTCCACGACACCGCGGCAACTTCTGAGAACGTAGCATCTAAATTGGCAGCTTGTGGTGTGCAGATGGCTCCGAGAGAGGAGGATCATTCTACATGCCGTCGGACTCCCAAGCTCTGTCTGAGAGAGTCGCAGTCTCGCATAGTCGCTGTCCAGCATGGCTCCAAGATGCTTACCACGGAGTATCGCACAGCACGCGGGAATCTCTCGGCGCCATATGCCTTATATCGAGATGGCATCCACTGCGTTTCATTGCTCTTGCCTCCCAATATAAGGACTCCTTGAGACCCTGACAGCGAATACCACCTCCCTCCCACGTCTTTCCTCCCCAGCCCTCAAGCAATATGCCTCCTCCACCGAAACCGAAGCCACCACACAAGATGGTCTTGACGGCTAACAGCCTCCGGAACACTACATTCTCGGTCGGAAACGATACGTTTTACTACGAGGTCGTCACTCGTTTCTGGCACCCAAATCTTACAAGAATCATCAAACACGATTTTGAGACGCGGGAGCTAACACCTCTAGCCGAAATCGAAGGCTTGCAAACAAAGGAGCCGAGGGTACGATTTGGTGGCGAGAAGGGTGACTGGATGTCTGCCTCTGATTTCGTCAAGTTTGAACCCGACGCTAAGTATGCATCTTTTTCACTGTCATGCTATTGATGGATGATTAATGGATTTGGGGTTTTAGGGGAGGGGCGTTTGCCACGGATGCCGGCGTTCAATATAAATGGAAGATCACCAAGGGCAATTTCCAGGTGTGTGTAATCTTGGATGTTGTTGAATATTCCTTGACGAGAATCACATGTATAGCTCGTACGAGCCGATGATCCAGAAGAAAAATCGCTGGTGGACTTCCATCCGCACAAGCGGCACTTCTGGATCTTCCGCATGTCGAAGCACGCATTCCTCGAGATCAAGCCTGAGCCAGAAGTACTAGAGGTTCTGGAACGGCTCATTGGTGAATTGCAATCTTCGAGTGACAATCTGCAGGCGGCTGACATGTCACATTCCAGTGAGTTACCTCCTTGTGGAGAGAAGACGGAGAGATGCGGGCTTGCAAGTCAAGTTCAAGCGCTCTTGAAATCATTTATTGTTTTGTGCTGCAGTCGTCGTTCTTTTCTCATTTCGCTACATTCTTTTGGTGGTTTAGTTAGAACTTGACCGTATATGTTATATCACTGGCATGCTATCAATAGACAAGCTCGAGCTCTTCCTAATATCCGACGCTCATCCTCATTACTTTCACACCGAAATTGTGGTCAAAGGTAAATACCCTGCGGTGAAAAGCATCGATGCAAGCGGAATGCGAGATTGCGTCATCGATGTTATTCAGTTATGAGTGCTAGTATTATAAAGCGATCGAGGTGCAATGACTCATATAAAGCCGAGGCAATATACTCAACGCTACTCGTAGCATCGTTCGACGCTGATCATGGCAGCTAATTTCTCTAGCGTCCCCGTTTTGGATTACAGCCTCGTAGCCAACCCAGAACGCAGAGCAGAATTCATCTCTCAGCTGCAGCACGCAGTCATCAATGTAGGATTCCTGTATCTATCCAATCCTCCTGTCGCCCAGGAAGACATCCAAGCTATGATCGATTATGCGCCCCGACTCTTCGATCTCCCTCAGGAGGCAAAGGAGAAGATCCGCATGGTCAACTCGGAACACTTCTTTGGCTACTCGAGATTTGGCACCGAATTCACAAAGGGCAAAACGGACCAACGGGAGCAGTTTGACTTTGCGACGCCATTCGAGAATCGTTGGAAGCCGGGCGAACCGGAATACGTGCGACTCTGGGGACCTGCTCAGGTAGGTACGATAGATTCATACGCACGTCGTGGTTTGTATATATGCACTCTGACATATTGCCGCACGGCGCGCATAGTGGCCCGAGGAGGAAGTTATACCGGGATTCAAGGCGACCATGTTGCGATACCTTGCGCAGGTGGAGACGCTTAGCTATGAATTCATCGGGCTATTGGCAGAGGCGCTTGGCCTTCACCCAGAGATTATGAAAGCATTCTACGAGACGGATGGCCCGACGCAGCACCGAGCAAAGGTTGTCAAATACCCAGTGCCAACTGATTCATCCTCCGATCAAGGAGTGGGACCGCACTTCGATGGTGGCTTTTTGACTTTCGTAAGTTTGAGTGGCCGGTTCGCCTGGCCTTGCTGTGGTCCCCTGACAGTATGGCCCCGTCGATAGTTGCTCCAAGCGTCACCACATCGGGGCTTGCAAGTACAAAACCTTGCAGGTAAATGGATTGACGCACCGCCCATCCCAGGAACATTTGTTGTGAACATAGGCAAAGGTAACATTATGCTTGCTGTCTCCCTCCGGTTCTTGGTCTCATCAGCGGTGACCAGCATTGGAGACCGTTACACAAGGTATTGCTCGTGCGACCTCCCATCGGGTGCTGTCTCCTGCGAAGGGCTCAACGCCTCGGTACTCGATACCCTTCTTCCAGAACATCGCCCAGAAACTATCGATTAAGGATGTGACTCTTGAATGTACGATGCTTGCTGTTGCGCTTCATTACATGTCCCGAATATTTTCTGCCCACAGTTAGCCCCGAGATACTCAAATTAAAAGAGCAGCGTGGGGCACTTGGGGCCATTGACTGTGAGTATACTGTCGGTGGTGGCGAGAGAACTGCATTCTCACCTGGTATCTAGCCGTAAATTATGCGGAATATGGGCAGCTGCCTACTGGGCAGGTTAACTTGATTGGTCGCATCAAGTAGGTACACGGCAATGGAAACGATGACCTGTAGGCTCACAAATGTGTTTAATCTCGTGTCACAGGAGTCACCCAGACGTCGCAGAACGACATTACCCAGACCTGTTCAAACAGTTCTTCCCTCAAGGTCTACCAGCCCAAGGCAGCGCATACTAATTTGTAGTGGCAGTCCTCATCGCAGATAAATGTCACCAGAATGAGAGGGACTGGCTTGCGCAGTTGAGAGAAGTATGATCATTGATTGTAACGAATTCCACCAGAGATGCGGTTGTAACATACATTATACAGTCCACTAGGATATTCATAAACCCCAGTGGGGTCTGCGTTCATAGGCACTCAACGTATGGCAAGGCATAGACCCTCGACTGCAATGTTTGCCTGCCAGATCCCGAGGCGGCGGACGAGGCGGAGCATCGCAGGTGCAGGCCATACGAGCACGAACGAAACGGGAACGATCACGACAAGCAGAAGCGACAACAGAATGGTGATACCTGGCTTGATGACCAGGAAGTAGAAAAGCGCCTGGTATGATGTCGAATCGGTAAACTACGACATTCGGACAAGGAGACACGTTAGTACACGCCATCCTGGATGCATAGTGGCGTGAGGAAACGCACCATGGCGTACGCATTGCGATAGAATGATTTTTCTGGAATCGCGGTGAGGCCCAACTCGATCTCGGCTGGGGTGGGTGCACGGAGCCGAACGAAGATGGGAAGAGGTGGGTTGGGTCTAGAATAGGCGAGGGGGCCGTGGAATGTAGTCTGGAGGGCAAGCTGGAAAGCGGCATGGGCAAATCGGGGTGCGGGGATTATACAAAGGAACTAACCTCACCCCGGGAGAGCAGCCGGGCACCGATAAGATCAAGGAAGCATAGCACGGCACCCACAGGCAGGGCCATGAGAGTAGTAGTGCCGGCCTACGATGAATATGAGTGGATAGTCTAGGGCCAGATGTGCAGAGCGAGATGCGTACTACAGTGAACACGAAGAGATAGACCCATGCTAAAAGGGCGTAAGGGAAGTTGACGACGAGAAGGTGGAACAGAGCAGCATAGTATGCTCGTTTGCCCATGGGGCGATAATACCGCTGCCATCGAGTTCGCCACGAGAGCCCTCGATGCCTGTTCAACTGCTGGCTGGCAAGATCTGCGACAAATGCGCGCTGCTCGTCGTCCAAAGGTCTTGAGCGTCGTAGAGTGGGCGAATCCAGTACACCCTCGTCATCGTCACTGTGGTCCCGTCCGTCCTCCGCAGGTCCCGGCTCCTCACAATCCGGGTCGACCTCACAATCATGCTCGGGGTTGAATGCGGATAGGAGTGTCTGCGCGAGGGACGGAGCCACAGAGACCGTTGAGCGTACGGTGCTCGTTATCGAGAGCGTGCGCTGCCGCCTTGGGACAAGCCCTGAGGGCAGACGGGTAGAGCTCCGAGGCGATGATGTGGACGGGTGCAACAACGGGGTTGTCTCTGTCGCATCGTTGTCGCGGTCGTCTGCATCGGATAGGTGGTGCAACGAGGGCGATAGAGCTTCGTATTCGGTGCCGCCGCCGGGGGCAATAGTAAGGTGCGAAGCATGGTCTTGCGCTTGATCGAGCGTGCGACGACGGCGCCCCGAGCGTGTTGCGCGTGAGCGCCGTTCCTGCGATGGATAGGGAGGTGGGGGGTCGTGTACAGGGGGTGTGGTAGACAAGACTACAATAGGAGGCGAGGGTAAGTCGGGGGCAGCATCGCCCAGTGGATCGGCGACCGACATGGTCGTTGCAGAACATGCGCGACTGAGGCATCGAGATAGGCACTCGCAGGCACACTGAGGCGCTGTGCATTCTGTACCATACTGTTCCCCTAAGCCTGGCAAGACACTATAGCCAAGTGGTTACGGCGACAGATTCGAATGTTCACCAGGATTTGAACCTCCTATCTGTTCCTCTTTGAGGGCGCAGGTTCAAATCCTGCTGGTGTCGTTTTCTTTCTTCTTCATCTTTGCGAACTATAACACTGTTCTCTCTTTCATTGCAATGATTCTTTTCTTGTGAGAGAATATTAAAGTAAGCTTCCAAATTGACTACAGTCATTACAATCACTACCGTCGAGTTCAAATTCATCCCTAGACCTCTTGACTGACCACTGCGAAGTTATTTACATGAATGTTATCTTGATGGCAACATGCACATTTATGACTGATAGTAGTAATCAGAATTCCTTAGAGTTCAAATTGGAGGTTCTGGATCAATGTAGCAAGCCGATGATACAATCCACCTCAGATTTGTACAAGGGCCTGCGCCCCGGGAATCCAACAATTTATAGTTGTTGCCGCCATTAACAATACCAGATATTGCACATGTACTACCCAAGACAATCCAGAACTCCAATTCTAAAGACCCTCTGTAACGTCGGATTTCGAGCCCATTTATCTCTAAGCTAGATGATCACCACAACATCGATTATGATAGTACATTTATTCTCAATATATCATTCCTTTCTTTGCCGAATTAATGGCTGCATTGAATTCTTCCTCTTGCTCCCAGCAACACCAAAATCTGCATACTAGCTATTGCAATTTGAATATTGATGAACCTAGTCGAAATCTGCTGTGGCCCGAAAACCGGCTCCAGTAAATCAATCATGGCTTCCTCGTAGTTTTCTCCGGCCACGATTTCTTCACTCGTTCGAGGAAACCCACATAGAGCTTGTCGTCAATCCGAAAATCTTGCCGTAGCATTGTGTCCTCAACATACCACATGAATTGCATGGTGCACTCGAGGATAGGTTTCATCAAGCTGTCCCGATGCTTGCGTTGATCACGCTGGGTAGCGGAAGTATTACCAGAAAATTCGAGCCAGATGAGGGCATCAAAGCGTTCCCAGAACGTACGCTCAGCATCGTATCGTTTGGGAAAGAGATCCGTCAATATGTCCTGCATATGGCAATCTTTGGAGCGCTTTGCCCTCGACCAGAAGAAATGCTTGTGTTCTCCATGTCGGAAATCCACAGATACTGCCTCTCTTCGTCGAATACTAATAGTAGTGTCCAAATGACGAAGCTGGTAAAAGAGCTCGTTCGTCAACTCGATACGAAAATGCTTGACGAGAGCGACAAGCTCAAGACGCAAAGGGGCAGCTTTGACCTCAGCTATGTAGTCCTGAAGAGGCTCCGGCAGTTCCTTCAAGTCGAGGCCGTGGAGCTGGTAAGGAGTGGGAGAATAAGACGCTGCGGCGATGGGGAGATCTGTTACTGGTGGGGTGTTGCTACGACTGGTCATAGCAGCAAAGCCAATGGCGATGGAAACGCAAGAAGATGGAGGAACGAGAGGCAAGAATAACTGTGTCGCAACGCTCAATGCGAGCCGAAGGGGGGTGGTGGATGGGTATATAGATATCGACCAAGGCAGGGGTTTTCGCCTTTTATCGTTGATTCAAAATGTGGATGGCAGGGCGCGCTATGCAGGAAACTCATACTCAGACAAGGGTCGTCCTCCTGCCACAATCCATACCACCGAATGCGTCGGACTCAAAAGCTTTCGCACGGACTCGGGCGTGGTCTCGAAAAGGTTTGGACAAGGGGATCAGTCAAAACGGGGCGGAATTTCCATCAAGTTCTAATATAGGCGCACCATTTTACAACATGCTGGCGCCGACCGTTTGTAATGCGGGTATAAATTGCATACCGACCGGGGCATTGGTTGCAGCGGGTCTAAATTCTGCTCGCTCGCAGGGAATACACCACAAAGTGCTCACTTAGAACTAAGATGAGGGGCGAGCGACATGGTGGGTCAAGACAAGGAATGGTCGGTGGACAGACAATGTCGAGTGAGGCTTATATACTTGGGGAGCTGTGACGTGGGTGAAGCCACAGGCCAGTCGATCGATCCGTATATGGGAATTGCATTTCCACATATGGCTGTGGCGGCATCGAAGGTCGGTCGGTGGGGACGACGTCATGTGTGTCGCTGGGTGCTTCCGACGTTTGCGCCGCGGGGTTGGCCAGTGACCAGGTTCAGATCTAGGCTGGACAATTCTCATGTGATCAGGGTCAACGCTCGAATCAATGGGAGAAGGGGAGAAGCGCACGTTGTGGCACGGATGGGCGAACTTACGCCTTCTCCTGCGCAGTCATGATGTGACTTCTGGAGCCACCGCCCAGCTGTCCCGGCGTGGTCCCATACACTTTTATTTCGCGGGCTCAGTAGGGTCCATCGTAGCGAGCAGTGCTGGATCCTGGTCCGCACTGCGCAACAGTGCTGTCGTTCTCTCGTTGCGCAGCCGTCGACCACTGGGCGATGCCTCACTTATGATATCAAACTGCCCAGACCGCGGGTCGCCGCATTGTCGCACGGCGCCAGCTCCATCCTGCTATCGAGTCGGAACCGTCTATCCATTTGCGGTAGCCACAACGGGTCCTGCTGTCCTCGCGGGCGCGCATCGCGGATACGATGTCTGTGTCCCTGGGCAAGCAGTGTCGAGTGTGGAAGTCAATTGTCTAGGCAGAGTCATTATTTTGCGCATGGCTGCGCCGCTTTGAGTCAGGATGAGCAGAGCGAGCAAAGTAAAGCGTCGCAGCCGCCGCCGGACGCCGGGCACGAGGCGGACGTAGTACGGCGCCACCCCCGAAGAGGCTAGGCGCCCTGCGAGCGCCGGGCATATTAGGCGGTCCACGTTCCCAGACACGTCCCCCAGCGGTCTCCAGTACGACTGTGAGCCTGCGCTGACGCGTCTGCCCCTGCGCCCTCCCGCCGTCCACACCCACACCCCAGCCCTGCCGTAGAGTTTGCCGACGAGTGCTTTGGCCCATCCCACACTCGTATAAGCCCAGCTCGTCCCCGGGCCCGAATCCCATCCCTTCTCGTCTTTCTCCCGTACCACAATTCCCCCGTCTGTAGCACTCGCAGCATTGGATCTGCTGCCCGCGCGAATACCTACACACTTCCATGGACGTTCTCAAGTCTCTCGTGCAGCCCCTCGTCGGCGGCGGCGGAGGCTCGTCGATGATTGACGGCGTCAAACTCGTCGTCCTCGGTGGCACCGTAGAAACAGCTCGGCGTATGGCTAGCTCTGGATGGTACGTCTCAGCGTCTCTTCATATATGCCTGCCCTCACCGTGTGCTCGTGTAATGTACATGCATCCAGGTCACATTTCATCAACTGTGAGTGCCCCTCCCCCCGCAGCAGCAGCTCGCCCCATTACTGACCCGTGCCCCCTTCACAGCCTTCTTCCTCACAGCCCACTTTTCTGAAGAGGACTACCCGTACGACTGGCTGATGCTCTGGCTCTCGCGCCGGCCTGAGTGGCAGCGCTCTCGTGAGTTTGAGACAACCACCCGCACGTCTAGCCACGGTTGGGGCTCCGGGGTCGCCGACAACTCGTTCGGTGAGGAAGAGGAGGAGGGTGAAGAAACGCCCGGAAAAGTGAAGACCCGTGTCGTCTTCCAGCCTACGACCAACACGACGCACACCATCTACTACAAAGGTCACTGGCTTCGTGTAAAGCGTGGGAGGAAACACGATGGCAGTGGCTGTGAGATGCTCTCTATTAGCGTCGTCGCTCGCAGCAATTCCATCCTGAAGCAGCTCGTGCTTCAAGCTAAGAAGGAGTACGAGGCCGAGGCGGTCCACAGAATACAGATCTATTTCGCCGACTCGCATGGGTGCTGGCGCTGGACAGACTCCAGACACAAGCGGCCAATGTCGTCCATTGTGTTGAACCCAGGTGTCAAAGAGATGCTTCTGGCCGACACGAAAGACTTTCTCAAGTCGGAAAAGGTACGCATCGCATCTTGTTGTACGCGTCTTCTGCTGACCATGTGCGCCATAGTGGTATGCCGACCGTGGCATCCCCTTCCGTCGAGGATATCTGCTGTATGGTGTGCCGGGGTCGGGCAAGAGCTCATTGATCCATGCGATCGCGGGAGAGTTGATGCTGGACATCTATGTCGTGTCTTTGTCGTCGTCGTGGATAAACGACAGCACACTGACTACGCTGATGGGCCGTGTGCCAGCGAGATGCATAGTATTGCTAGAGGATCTCGACGCAGCTTTCACCAGGAGCACATCGAGAGACAAAGAGTCAACAGGTAGCCCAGACGGTAGCGAGAACAGTAGCTCGACAACAGAGACGACAGAGCCGCAGACACGTCATAGCAGTTCTAGGCGGCATAAGGAGCACCTGTCCGATGTTAACACTCTCAGTCTAAGTGGCTTGTTAAATGCGCTCGATGGCGTTGCGGCATCCGAGGGCCGTATTCTGTTTGCGTGAGTGGGTACCTGCTCACCTGCTTGACCACCTGCTGATGCTTTTGTATAGGACCACGAACCATCTTGAGCGACTTGACCCAGCACTGTCGCGTCCTGGTCGTATGGACGTCTGGGTAGAGTTTAAGAATGCGTCCAAATGGCAAGCTGAGCTCCTGTTCCGCAACTTCTTCCCATCGACAGATGAAGACAACGTTGTGATCGAGGGTGACCTTGAAGGCATTGAGCTGCCCACGCCGCCGTCCCCGTCGGGCGAGTCGTCCTCGACGTTCTCATCGTTATTCTCGCTGCCATCGACACCTACGGCGTCGCTTGGTTCGTTGTCATCCGTGCCATCGACGCCGGAGCGCTCGTCGCCTGCAGGAAAAGCTAGAACTGTGCGCATGGATGAATCACTGAAGAACCAGGCGTACCTCCCACCCCCTGTCGACGATGAGATTGCACAGCATTCGGCCAAGCCGCTCGACGGGGCTACCCTCGCTGCGTTGGCGAAGCAGTTTGCGGATTCCATCCCGGATGAGGAGTTCAGCGTGGCGGCGCTGCAAGGCTGTGAGTACACGTTCAGCGGCTGAGTTCTATTTTCTCTGCATGCTACCGCAGTCCTGCGTGGGCGAGCATCTGCTGTGGTGTAGGCGCGTACATGCTTCCTGCGGAGGACGGTGCATGGAGGCGGCTCGACACCGAGTACTAATGAGTTTTGTGCTGCCGGGTCCTGTGATTGCACGGGTGCCTGTATAGATCTGCTGAAGAACAAGTCGCGCCCCGAGGCGGCTGCGAGCGACGCGGCTGAGTGGGTGGTGAGCGAACGGGAGCTGAGGGAGCGGCTGAAGAAGGAGCGCGAGGCGCGAGAGCTCAAGGAAAAGCTAGAGGTGAGTTTTGCACAAATCGATTATCTGATGTGTTGCCATATCGGGCGTCGGCTGACGATGTTCCGATTTTCCGTCGCTGCCTTGGCTGCCGTGCGCCGTGCCGGCCGCGTCATGAATAGCGCGAAAAGAGACGCAAGGAGCTGCTGGTCAAAGAGAAGGAAAAGGCTGAGATGAAGAAAAAGGAGGAGGAGGAGGTGCAGCGCAGGCTCCTAGAGGAGAAGATCCGGGCAGAGGAGCGGGCCAAGCTGGAGGCGGAGAAGGCGGTCGCGGACGCGCTTGCGGCGGCGGAGGCTGACAAGGAGAACGGCACGCCCTCCGAGGATGGCCAGGGTAACGAGGAGAAGGACGGGCAGGACAGCGAAGGCGACGAGCAGACGCCCTCGGAGGGGCTGGTCTGGGTCGGAGTTGCTGAGGTGTCGACATGACTAGGAGCTGGTTCAGATTCTACAGCGGACTCTGGGGCACTGCCCGAGCTCGATGGTGTGGTACATGTTACTCGTACGGACACTCGCTGTGGCTTGGCCCCGGGCGCGTCGGGGGCGAGGCCACCCGTCCCCGTCGCTGCAGACTCTAGATGTTTGGCGCGGAGACACGCAGGTGGCTTTGCGCTGCTGCACCCGGTGTTCCAGTACTGCTTGCTTCACCTGTATGTTCTCTTGCAGATCGCCCTCTTCGGAGGAGGTCGACGCGGTCGTTGAGCGGTGACGCTGTCATTCGCTGCACGCGCGTTTTGGTTGGGTTGTTATTGCTCGTCCCCTTCGTGTTGCATACTTACCGTTCCGAATGAGATATCACTGTGAGCTCTGCTATGTGGATTTGGGAAGGGAGATCTGTGATTGTGCGCTGAGATGAGCATCGGGCGCACAGGCGCGTACCATGAAATTGAGATGAATTTTGCACGCTGCCGCGGGACGCCTGGGCACAGCCGCCGTCCGCGGT